AATCGAGGGTTATATTATACGTAACAGTGTGGAGAGAAACACACAGAAAGCTAAGTATTTAGAAAAATCAAACACTTAGAATCAGATACATACAAGCCAATATCAACGAAAATGAACACAGTTAGCGTCGTAACCTACGAGCTTTTCAGGAAATATCCAGATGAGACAATAGTGCAATAATAATAATAACTTAATCAAGAACTGCCAACGGTTTATTAGGTCTCTAATTTCATACCATATTGTATAGATATACTTGTCGTTCCTATTAACAAACAATTAATAATTATTTATTGCGCAAATAAAACTTTCCAACTATTGTTTAATTTCCTTTTTTCCTAATTTTGTTTACGTCGAGTCAGCATAAGACCGACACTTCTCAGTTGACTCGGGGTAAAGACACTCCTTTGAGAAGTGTCAGCTGTGTTTTCCGACGAAAATAGCAAGTTTAATTTTTGATTAGAATCGCACCTTAACCGTATCCATTTCTTGTACAAAGGTACTGGGTTTCCGCGAAGGCCAGAAGGTTAACGTTACCGAAGGTAGAATATGCACGAGTCCGTACTTTGGATGAATGGTAACTTTACGTAACCGAACATAGGTTGAGAAAGACACCACTGTAAGTTTTTTCACTTTTGCACATACACTTTGTGCTTACTTAGATACTTCAGCTCTATATTGAGCTAAAATGGAACCTTCAATTTACCCAACCGGATATGAACGTGTCGTCGTGTATTTATGTACAAGACACAGTATAATCAAACATATAGTGACAGTTAATAATACATATGGCACCTCCTACAATTTTATATGCAACTTTCCCGATGACAAGGTACTTTAAACAGACAACTAATACCAGAACACAATGTCCATTATCGTCAATTCTGTCCCAGGCAGGTTATTTTATGCGGTAAACTGAGCACTTGTGATCATTCAAATCGCTCTTACTAGATATCACGTATCCTCAAATTCGTATGGCCTTAAACAAACATGTAATAGGTTTTATTGGTAACTAAAACTAGGTCAGAAATAAACTACTAAAGAAACAATGCAACCCTATAACCTTATAGCAATAAGTCATATCCCCCGGCAATAACAAAATGATATTTATACTATGAACATCCTGTGGTACTTCTAGTCGTCTGACAGGACCAATTCTAAAAACGTGACACAACGTCTTCTTTTAGGGAACTGTTCAAACGAACAATCTAATGTCTAGGTAAAGTTTCCTGTATTTTGTATCACAAGGAAGATGTTTTTTGCTGGTAGTCTCCTGTTAACATGGTACAAGGAATAATGATGGAATAACCAGTCTCGGTGCAAAAATTCCTAGAACAGTACGTATGACCAAGTTATTTTATGACCACGACGAAGCATCTGTAGGGTCAACGGTAGCTTGGGGAAACGATGTCTTACTGGTCCCGACGACCAGGTGTTAATTGGGTCAGGGCCTGGAGGTAGAGTGTGTGAGTATGACCTACAAGTGGTGTGTGTGTGTGTGTGTGTGTGTGTGGGTGTGTGTGTGTCACAGTGATGGGCTTAGGGCATGGGGACGGGACAAAACAATCTTGCGAATATTGACTTATGTAATAAATGACACTTTACATACGTTTTTTACGTACCGTATACCGACAGATTGTCTTCAATTTAGGTAAAAGAGTGAATAAGACTTGTTACATAATTGGGGTTTATTTTCTTGGGGTATTTTTCTCAACAATTTATTATAACTTCAGTGCAACATTAATGTTATTGAGTAGTGAGAGAGCAAAATAAAAAAGTCGAAACGGTTTACGGTGACCAGTTCACAGGAAGGACAACGGCAGGTCTCAAGAGGTTATACCGCCCTGGTAGTAGCGTGTCGGGGTCATGTCTAGCCCGTCCCTCTGCCTAGCCATGAACTCTCCCGTCGAGACGACTAGAGAGGTAGGGACCGACGTCCGACTAATTGTCTGTCAACCTAGCGCCGCTTTACGAGAGACGTCTGGGGTAAGACTGTCGCCGCAAATAGTTGGATATTTGGGAAAAGGCATGAGTTATAGTTCGGTGTGAATAACAAAAAATGAAGCCGAACACTCAAAACACACCGAGTCCTACTAAACCGACACAAAGAGACACATAGCGATTGTTCCTGGTGTGGAGGTGCCTGAGTCGCTGTCTAAAGTTTGCAGGGCTGGTTTAGTCTCGCGTGACACGAGTGTCCCTCCCACCCCCGACCTCGATAACCTCGAGGTTGCTCGGCAATTCTCCGTCTCTCACTTAAGTCACCTTATGGTATCACCTATCCCCTGTGTAGGCCTCTAGGAGTTTAGGATGGCCGAAGACACTACACTACCCATAATCCCCAGCTATCGTTTAGGACTACAGTCCCCGTGATTAATCTTCAAGCTCTGGGATTGGATGTTGGAGTGGCAGTGCGCCAAGGTTACGCTAAGCGTCAAACAGCTGTTTGAAATGGAAAGAATCCACGCCAGACTATCCAAAACTGGAATCGAACGCCCCCCCCCCAGAACTACACATGCTGGCTATTGTGTTTCGCAAAATGTTCTATGGGACGTCTCGACTGAACGTTTTCGTTTTTCCCACAATTAGAAGTTTCCAGTATCAAACACATTGGTGTTATCAAATGTAAAACATATAATTAATAAATGGGTGAAAATTGCTTGTGTCCATAATGCGCAGCATTAATATATACCCACATGACAGCTCATTGTTACTTTGTAATTCTACTCCACTACAATTCAGAGATTAACCTGGTATTTTTACTCAACTACATTTATTTTAGTTACTTTGCAGATTCTGATTAATGATGTGAAATATAAACAACCCTTAAATCAGACTTTAGTTACACCTGAGTAAAATTCAGGGAAGGTGATTGTCAAGTGCCAACAATCAGGAGAGATATTTGATAGTTGGTGCTTGAGAGGACTAAACATTTATCTGCAATTGACATGAATGGAAACGAGTAATAAAGTATATTCATTACTCGTTATTCTCTACTAATAGTTAATTAAAGACTGTATATGGCTATTTTGCACATCCCTTTCAAGATTTCCAAAGGTTTATTGACATATCATATACACAACTACGGTGTATGCAATGAATGAAAAACTTGGGTCACAGGTTCCTCAACAGTGCATTACAAGACATCTATCAATATGTGTGTACCTCCACCATTAAACTGTCATATTCTGCAAATGTATTATACTATCTACATACATAAGAGTATAATTCATTATGTATAATATCAGTTAAAATAAGTGCTTCAACATAGTTAACATTGCAGGAAAGCAATATATTAGACGTTAAGTACTTTGTCAGGCTTAATATTTAATAGATAGATACCCCCAAAGCTTTTTTCTTATTTAAAAGAAGACCTTAACCTAAAGTATTATTTAATGTGTTAATAAAGGTTAATTCGTTTTTCTGTTTTGCACATCCTCATATTAATATCTTTGTACATCCGGCACTAAACTGTTTTATTGTAGAGATCACTTATAGTATCTTCTTGATTTTTTATATTCTATATTTCTATCATGACCTTCTACTTTCCCCCTATGAAAGTATGTACTCTTAATATTTTTTTAATCAAATATAACACATAAAAACAATAATTCAATAACGTGCTTTAACCACTAGGCGGTGCACACAAGGTACACACAGCCATAATAACTTTGTATTATTAGTGTAGGACACTTATGTATGTACAACATCTGAAGATGTGTAGTTTTATTCATATTTTCACATAATTTTACAGCATATTGCTATACTATTTCACACTCAGTATTTACATTCTTATATTCAAAGAAAATCAGTAATATCTTTAAAAACTACAAGTCCTTTTATACAGCTGTGCACCGTTATGGTGTAAATATAACCTATCTATGAATTAGATCAAATGTAAAAGTCAGCCGAATTAGTGTTAATACTGCAAGGAGACGTATTGTGTGAAGAGAAATTGAAGATGTTGCATTTCTTCCAGTTTTTCCAAAGATCTTCTCATCAGGGCTCTATAAATAAAGAACTACGGCAGATCTGTAATATGTAATGCAACCGAACCGTGTATTACAATGCCGTTATGTGATGACTTTCAAAGAGAAAAGCAAGAACACTCGGAATTAAGTATTATATTATTCTTTTAAAAATGTTTCCCAGATTTCATATCATATAAACACCAAATCCCAGCATGCATTACGGCTAAAACATCCAATTAGCGAGCTTAAACCATAGCTCAGGATCTTGGGTAATCGCTCGAAATGCCTAAGTCTGTTTCCGGTTATTTTTATTTTGAAATTCAGTTCCTGACGGACGCCAAAAAAGCCCGAGATTATGGAATCAAACCAATAAATAAAAACAAGGATAATGTTGTGTTATTGTTGAGTAAATAACAGTGTTATTTAGAAAAGAATAACAAATTAGAAGGAAAAAAAGATTTAAAAAATACAGATTTCAGTATTCTGAGGCTCTGAGCCCCATTTATTTTCCTCAGAGACGGCAACAAAAGTCAGAAATTATACGATTTAAAATAAAAGCAATAATTGTGGCTTGATATTGAGTAAGAACATGTTTTTATGAACCACATAGCTTCCGGTCTTCCTATAACACGTAATGCCGTGAGACTACCAATAGAAATACATTGCTTTTAAAATGGCGCTGTGCAACACGAAAAAAAGGGGAAAATCGTGTTGGTGAACACGAATCAATAGATTAAAAATCGTGTTGGTGAACACGACATGCCGTGAGACTGGGTTGAGCCATACCGAGCGAGGCCCTGTAGTGGAAATGCACCATAACTTCACCCTGAAAGCTTTAGTGATGTGTTGAGAAAGAGTGGATGTACCCAGAAGCTGCAGCTCAAAAATGGCAAGTGGCTTGTGACAAGAACCTGTCCAGCTGAGAGTCTCTCTGATGGTCCTTCTCCAAGTGGCACACTCAGAGCAAAGCAAAGCAACACAACATACACACCCACACACACAAATATGCACACGTTTGCCAAGTCTACCAACCTCTCTGTCAAGTAACGTGTGGGAGATGACAGTGACGATGTCGCCTCGTTCTGGATTGATGTAGAACATGGTTGGGGAGGGCTTGTCCGGCGACTGCCTGACGATGTTGTAGCGCAACGCCGCGTTATCGGTGCCTGGGTCGTCAGCGTCAAACGCCGTCATTGTCATCACCGTGGTTCCTGGAGGAGACAGCAAAAGACAGTTTTGAGTCTGAGCTCACACTTACTTGTCATAGTGGATATGTGAGCGAGGATTCCAAAAGCTGGTGTTGTGAACTAAATAATTTAGGAATAAAACAACATTTTTGAAGATACAGCAGGAGTTCATTTTTCTACTCTGAGATTGATTCATTTTTGTATTGTTCAAACGACACATGAAGGAAAAAAAAGCTCCTGAAATAAATCTCAGGAATGGAACTAATGGAACAGGTTAAAGTGTCACACTCCTTCAAAGAGTATGCTAATTTTGACATTTTGTATTTCAAAAGATTTACATCCCAAAGGTTATAGATGCATGTTTTAAACTAGAACAAATCCAATAATTTATGAACACATGTTCATGCTACCATGGTTTAGCCAAGAAAAAACAAAGTGAGGATGGGTTGTTGTCTACATAATATTGTAATATACTATGTGGATACTAAACTAGAGGCATGGCCATATACATTGTGCCATGTAGATTGAAGACATCTTATTGTTAACATACTTTATTTATATGCATGCCAGTGAAGACAAATCTAGTCAGTTCTGTCATGGGTTAAACATGGATGTGGGAAATTGTTATATGGGTGTACACCGGTGTACGCATGTATGTGTGTGTTTCTGCACAGTATGTGTGCACTTGTTGGACAGGTAAGAAGCGGCTGTTCTTAAAGATTGGAATATTAGATTTTTTAGGTCTGCTAGTGAGGTGGCCAAAGGGTGTATGTGTATCGTACACTTACACCATTCAAGGAGCTTTGTTTTTGTTTGTTAGTCTAGGGAAAAACTATCAATCAAATGTTATTCAAAATTATACTTTTATCTCATGGGGCTTTACAGTTTGTACAGCATCAACACCCGCTAAACTTTGAGCCTTGCGTCATGCAGAGAAAAAGAGAGCAACGGAAATAGCACTACTGAGCTATTTCCATGAAATTTGGTGGAAAGGTATGGCATGGGCTGAAGTTCCAAAATATGTTTTTGAGCAGGTCAGAATTACGTTGCGGATACGCAAATGATGTGTACACAGGGCATTTGTGCTGCAATTATGTTTTTTGGGAATAATGAGAAAAATTACTCACATTTCACATGAATGCCCCCACAAGCCAGAACATCAACTATCAACATGGTGTTTAAAGGATCTGAGTTATAAAATACAACAGATCTTCTTTGTAGCATCCATGTTGTTTCCAAATAATGACTTATAGCTCATGAACACACCAAGTCAGAAGAGAAACCTTTCAAATCGTGACATTTGAATTCATCTTTCTCTGCAGTTGAAAGGAAGGATGCACTATTTGATGTAGCCTATGATGGTTTAATGTTTGCTTTCGCAGAAAGAAGTCATCTTTACTGTGTTATCCTCAACATTTTCATTGAATATGAATGAGTAAGAACTATTATACATATATATTTGATCGAATCAAATTGTGTTTGGAGATGAGAGCAATCATGGCAGCAGATATATGAGAAGCGCAATTTAGAACTACAGATAGCCGCTTTAAAAAGTGAGCCTTTCCCAATTATGTGTTTTCTCACTCCTGTCAGCTCTAACAGCATGGTGCATATTTGGTAATGGGAACAAAAATGAAAAACCTGCCCGCCGCAGCTGAGCTGAAATAGGAGGCAATCCTTGACACACACTCAACCATCCATCTCTCTCTCCTGTCAATCATGAGACACACACATTCACCAGGACGCACTCAGTCTGCACATACAGGGAAGTACAGACACAAATGCAGTGATATATCCAAGGTTTCAGGCACACACTCTCACACACAGACCATGTAAGGTCGTTTCACTTCTGAGTAGTGTTTTTCATTGCGGGCAGGAGTGTCTATAAACTGCATCTCCATCCAGTACTTCATGGCCTTGATGTCACCAGCTTTCAGTCAGGCACCTCTGGTTAAAATATCACCGGCTGAATAACTGTTCAATTTGTCAAAGCTCTAAGTTTGATTCATTTTCAGGGAGATATGTCACCGCAGTCTGATGAGACAATGTGTCTGGACCACAGATGGATAGGAAGTCTGGAAGCCTTTGTGTGTTTGTGTGATATAAATTGAAATTGATGTATTTAATTAGTGTGGTGTCATTTGTTTGTCAACTGTTAAGAACTATTATCAGTAGATTAGGTCAAAATAATGCACTGTAACTCTAAAATGCTTCTTCTTCTGCTTTCAGTATTTCCTATCTATATTGGAGCTGGTATTTTATTGTTAAAAGTCCTGCCTTAGTCCTGCCTTATAAGACCCTGATACTTTTATTTTGTGAAAGGATTAAGCCCACTGAAGTTATGTGTTTTCTGGCAAGAAACCCCCTTGTGATTTCCTTCTTGACCCACATACTTAACAAAACATTTTCCTAAGCACCCAATAGCAGCACTGCGTCGCACGGCTCATAAACATCGATCTCTTTTCATGCTTCACCTTAATACCCCGCAGTACTTTGCCACAGTGCATTAGTCGAACCGTTCAAATAAGACACAGAAAGGGCTGGAAATATGTAAAGTCTTAAATAATGGTGGCTTAGATCCAAACATCTTTAGTCCAGTTGGAGGTAATGAGGGGCAGAGAGGTGTGGGTTTTATCCCCTTGGCATTTGCATTCCAAGGTGAACCATTAATGGTTAAGTAAACCAGTAATCCTTCCTCTGCAGAATAATTACAAAGTCCCATCTCCTTCATTACCGATACTCTGTTCCACTTCACACTTCTGAAGCCACACTATTAAAGACGACTCAGTGAGGTTGCGCATAAACACACATGGTAGCACGCACAGTTTTGCACAGTGACACACCAACCAGTGGAAAATTAGTTTTAAAACGGTGACTAAATTAGTTATCTTAAACAGATCTCAGTGAATTATGTTTCCATTGCGCAGGTTAACCGAGGTTCCTTGAACGCAATGCAATCCTATTACATGTTTTATGGCATATCAGCCCTCTCAAGCGTCACTGTCTTCATCAGATACCATAATTCCACTCACAAATGAGTATCATGTAGCCAATAAGCATTTGGTCAGTCAGGAATACAACAGGGCATCAGCAGTAATCATCTTACATGATAAACATCCAGCATTCTGTAATGGGACAATGGGGCTGGGTATAAAAGCCACACTGATGTATGCCGTGGTAAATATTAACATGACATCATGGGGCCGGTCAAGGCTCAATCAATCCTAACTGCATTGGATGTTTAGATGGTGGGATGGATGTGAAAACACAGGACTGCCATTACCTCGCTATCACTTCCATCTGCCGTGCTGCTGGATGACACCAGCTCGGAGTCGGTGAAAAGCGATACAATAAAGATGGAGACAGCAGAGAGAGAGAGACTGAAAATCATCCAGTTATTATGAAAGGATGTAATGTTCGGTGAAAAAAAAGAGAAAGAAATGCAAAGAACCGGGCTATGAGGTAAAAAATCAACGATCCAGACATGAAAAGACACGATGACTGACAGAAAACGCACACATACACATGTTTTGGATTGATTTCGTCACAGGGTGCTGTTGCCGATAGCTAACTCCAATATCTTTCTCAAAGACCAAGGGAAATCAGCAGGGGCCATCACATCTGTGGGTGCCACCAGGGAGCTGACGCCGTGTGAAGAGCCAAGATGAGGCAAGAGACCATAGACAAGATTATCTTTTAAAGAAGGGTAAATGTGATTCTAGTTCGGGTTCGAGGCTACAATGTGTGTGCACATTATTGTCTTTCACAGTGTATCGGCGTGAGGGTGAGTGATGAGAATTTTATTTTAAATTATTCAACATGTGCGATGGATGTTCCAAAAGCTGAAATGGGATTTATATTAATCAGACTCAAGTGAGTGAGAAAGAGTAAGAGCTGACCTGTTCTATTCTCAGGTGCGAATGAGATCAAAGGGAGTTCAGAAGTGAATCATCTCATCCACTAGCAATAGTGTGGAGATCGTACATGAAGACGACTTCCAAGCACATAATCATAAGGAGAAGAAAGCAGTGGTAGCAGAAGTGGGGAGAGAAACAGAAATATAAAATAACAAATGAGTGTAGAGACTGCCACTACATAATTCGATATATGATATTTTACAATGTGTAACGTTTGTACAAGGTTATTTGTATGTAGAGGCATTTATGTATACCAGTGTCAAACATGGGAGTAGGCTATTGTTACAAAAAGACAAAAGTCGAGTGGTTTGTCAAAATCAAAGGGTTCAGTATCAATGGTAAAGCATATATGGTCCATTAACTGCCATTAAATAAAACACTTCTTGATTGTTGTTGTTACAAGAGACGGGATTCTACATTTCAGAGTCTTGGTTGTTTTTAATGAGCTTTGCCTGTATTTTTGTTTTTGCTCTTTCTTTATCTCACCGCAACATAAGCGGGGTTCTAAACCTAAATCTGTGACGGTTGTATTGCCACCACTGTCAATAACCTCTGATCAAACCACACTAGAATAGACCTCAACTCATTACTATTAACTAAGCAAGAAAGTGTTTTCTTCTGTACTTAAACTTTTAATGTTGCATATTTGGTAATGAATATTAATGTCATCATCTTTACATTAACAAACACGTTTCAAGGGGCTTTAACATATGTATATGGGAACCTTCTTTGTAGCTCTCAATTCAGCAACACACGCTTTTTTTTGCAAAAACTATTTTTTAGTAATATAATATTATTTCTCCCCACAGGTGCCTTCTGTTTTTACTAAATGGGCCCAATAATTAAAACCATGTTGAAAACATCATGCAGCCTGATGCATGGTTACGACACCCTAGCCTAGAGTAATAAATACCCTGAATAAGATATTAAATAATAATAAAACAATAAACACTTATACTTTCTCCAACTTTTCTCCCATTTTTTTTTTTCTGTAAAGTATTAGATATCTTTAACTGTTTAAGTCTCAGTATAAATAAAGCAATCATACTTTTTCCCAGCAGACATTTGACCAATTTTCCCTTAAATTATGCTTAATATTTTCGAAAGAAAA